TCCTTAATGTAATTAATGCAATTATTTGGTGCAATTAATTGACTTACTATTAAAATATATAAATAATTGAAACATAATATAATTATTTTTAAGAATTTTAAAAATTGAGTCAATAGCAAATAATTTATATTACATATATTATATATATCTTTTGGTAAATAATATCTGATAGTTGAAAGAGTTTTATATAAGGACAGGTTTTTAAATTATTTAGTATATAAAATTTTATAGATTAATTATGTTCTTTTTAAAAAAATATAATTATTTTATTATTATTTTAATAGAAACATAATTCAAAAAATACTTGATTTAAGTGGCTTAAATTATAAAAAATCTTTATAAGTAGTTTTTTTTGATCTTATATTTTTAAAAAAACTTTTCCAATAATAAAAAACATTTGAATTATGTTCTTATCTTTAATTTAAAAATCTATCTTTAGTCTTATATAATATCAACATATTTTAGATTCATTTTGCTATAGAATTTTATATTGAGCAGAAGAAGAAAAAAAATAAAGATAAAAAAATTTTCAAAAAAAATTTTTTTTGACATTGTAAAAATAAGTGAATAAAAGTTTCATTTATTAGTTTTTTATTTATATTTTTTTTGAAGTAAAAACAATATATAACAATAAGTAAGCAAATATTAAAATATTAAAATATTAATTTTATTTATAGTGTTTTTTTATAAAAAATATTAAGAAAAGATTTATAAAAATAGAAAATTTATTATTAAATTTAAACTACTTATTTCAGATCTGACTTATAAAAAAAAATAATATTTAAAAAAGTTGATTCAAATACTTTTTTTTATCTATCTTATTGCTTAAATTTTAAATTATAAACTTATATTAATTTTAGATTTATATAAGTTATAACTTTTCTTATTATTTATAACAAATATTATTTTTTTAAGCTACTGTATACATTAGATTGAGATAATTCAAGTTAAAGCTCCAATTATTATGAAATGAGTATTAATTGGAATTAATTAGAATAGAATATAATTTTATTTATATTTCTAAATATATAAAATTTGTACTTTTAATAATTATTATAGTATTAACTAAATAATTATTATATTATATTATTTTTTTAAAATTTACAATTTCAATATTTATTAGATTAATATATAAATTGACTTTTTATAAGAAACAGTATTTATCAAATTATATTATCATATTAGGATTTTTAATAATACTATTTCAGTATCAAGTTAATATTGAATTTATTATAAGTTTAATATAGTGGATTGCAATTTATATATTAAATTAATTATAAATCAGTACTATTTCAATACTATTTTAGTATCAGTTTGAAATCTTATATCAGATACTATTTTTAAATTCATTCAATTGCCTTTATTTGAAATTGAACTGATATCTTATAATTTGGATCTAAAAGTATTAATTACTATACTATTAATTTACAGGTTAAAAAAACAAAAATTTCAAATATATATAAAAAAATTTATTTATTTATTTTTAATTATTTCTTATATATTGTATATTATTATATTAGATTTTTACTCAAGATAATTATTATCTTTTATTTAATATTATAAATATTTTATGCAAATCTTATATTATTCAATTATATAATACATATAACTTCATATACATATGTATATAATTTTTTTATAATATCATTTATATATTTATAATTACATTATTGTAATATTCAATAAATATATAGAAATATAATAATCTATATTTTGCTTAATCCTATTAATCTCAAAACTGTATTGATTTTATATATTCTTAAAAACCTTAATATACCATGTTAACTCTTTCAACTTATTATCCTACATTACTAGTTTTTTTTTTAAAGTAAAAATATAATATATGACAATACAATATACAGTATATAAAAAAAAAACATTAAAAAGATAGGATTAAATAAAAATTAGTTATAAGACATTGAACCATATATTTATAAATTATTTATTAAGTTATAGATAAAAATATAGTAATTATATTTGAAAAAAAACAATTACAAGATTGATAAACGTTTATCTATCATTTTTTTTTAAAAAACAAAATAAATCATAATGTTTATATAAATATCATATACTGTGACATACTGGAACCAATACCAAATGATTGATGCTAAAAGAGTTATTATCTTTTCAAATATATCAAATCATTTGAGTCCAAATATTATTTAGATTCACATATTTGGGTTTTTTATAAAGAGACTTTATTTCATATTGTCGGCACACAATCTAATTTTTTAATACAGGCCATAACGAGTTTTTGTATTTCCTTACGCCACTAGGAATCGCTTTTGTTTATCGAAATAAAAAATCTATGCAGGATCGTGGGTTTTTTTATACACGGTTTTTTTTTGCTTTTTTATTTTGTTTGGGTGAATTTTATTTTATTTTATTGTTTTTTAAAAAAAGAAAATGGATTTCTTATATAATTATAAATACAGCATGTCGTATTCTATAAATACATTGCTTCCAAAAAAGGAAATTAACTATAGCTCTGCGAGGTAGAATGATGTTATGCAACAGCAACATGGTTACGTGAAATGGACTAGTTCGGAAGGTATCGATGGTAGCATAGTTACCGTATAATGATGACCCGAGATTCCTGTCTTGTTTAGAAAAACCATTTTCATTATTATTATTATTATTAGTATAAAATTTGAATCGAATAAGCGATCCTGATTGCATCATTATGTCGAACAGTTTAATATTGTTTTGGTTTAAGGGATTTAGTCGATCATCAAGATTCGACCCGAGTTTATCTTTGCGGAATTGGAATTAAGGTTTTCCGAAATTTTTATCGTGAAGTAGTCTTACGAATGTGTCCATGACATTGTCAATTCAAGAAACATTCATCCTTCTATTGCCGAGAGTGTGCGAAACATTTCAAGTGTTATTTGACCACCGAATGTCTGGTGTCACTGGCTTATTTAAAGATAATGAAACAACAGTTGCATGATCGGAAAAAAACCAAAAAACCCCGAAATTTCTTTGCAGAGAAAATAAGATGCAAGAGAATAAAAGTTTTCTCTCTTCTTTAATATTCTTTTTTGGGGAGGGGATGCGACCTTACATTGGAATTATTAAATTTGCCATAGAGGATGAAACTGAATTTCGGATAGGCCTGATTAGGGTCGCGGAAAGAAAACAGCTGCAAAATATATATACGCTTACATAATTAATTACATAATTGTTTGACAATTTTGTGATACTCCGGACATGATTTTTTTTTCGACTCACGTTTTAGCGCTAAATTAAGCTTGAAGATTTTGCTTTGAGATTACTCCGGACACATCTCTTGAGATTACTTCTAATATGGCTTAAATATTATGAGGCTGTGAATCAAGAATACGGATTCTTGTCATCAAACAATTAGAGATTTACGTGTTGGCGCAATAGAAATAAGCCTTCATATGTAATTAAAAAAAATCAAGTCCTACATCAAAAACCGGCAATAGCTCAGTTGGTAGAGCGGGAGACTGTAGGGAACCTACAAGTTCCAACACCGTAATCTCTAGGTCGCTAGTTCAATTCTGGCTTGCCGGAAATATTATCTCTTTTTTTTTTTTTTCTTCGTGGAGTATTAAAGTTTTCCTGAAATAATAATAATAATAATAAATTAAGATTTGGAAATGAATTCTGGATATTCAATCCAGGGATCATCGGTAACAATGAATAATCAAAGTTTTCAAACAATTAAAGAATTTTAAATTTGTAAAGAGGAAATGCATACATGTAGATGGTTCGTAAACAATTTATTTTTTTTTTCACACTAGCACAGTGTTTTGAACTTTAATGTTACGTCTATATAAGTAAAACTCTAAATACCTTATTGATAATACTTAGCTAAAGAACAACTTAACGCGATATAGATTGGTCGATGTTAAAGACGTGCAATTGAATCGATGCAAATAGAATGACAAAAAAAAAAAAGGATGCAAAAATAAAAGGTGCAGATAAACAAAAGATGGATGTGATGAAAAGAGGGAAAAGAGAATTCATAAAATAAAGCAACAAGCAGAAAATTCGTCGACATTCTTATTTATAAGTTAAGATAATATGTCAAATCTACATTTTCGCCCTCAAAATCAGAGCTATCATCTTGTCGATAATAAAAATTTTGAAAGTAGAGAGGATCAAGTGGTTGTTGAACAAATTCATGGAATACTTGAAAATTCTCACAGACCAAAAGTCCATCAGATGTTTCTGGCGTTATTATCTGTGATGTGTTGATGGCGTCAAAAGTGCAGCTTGCGGGATTATTGGCAATTGGGGTTGCGAATTCGTTAGAGCACGTGATAGAAGATTGTGTCTTATTGTTTCTTTCGCATTTGGTGCTTTTAACCGAAGTATTTATGATTGCTTCTGGCGTTATCGGTACAAATTCATAAACCACGTTACGCCTTGCAACATTGACAGCACAGCCTTTCGTGTTCTCCCGCGATCGTTTTTTCACTCCCGATGACATTCCATATCCATTCATTTGTTTATTTTTCTTCGATCGTTTGGAATTCTTCCACACGACCCTATTCTCCAGTAATTTTTCGTTCAGTCGCTTTTTCTCGTTGAGTTCATTCTCGACTTGCTTAGAAATTTGTTTGTAAGCCTCCTTTACGTTGTCAGGTTCGTTGTTCCAATGTATGCTCACCAATTTCGAGGCTTCCGTCATTTTAAGGTTCCCATGTTTCGAAGTGGAGAGGTGATTTAAAAATTCTTTGCGGTATATTATGAACGCATTTGGAGGCCTCAAGCTTATCTCTGAGATTTTTCGCTTACTTGTTATGTCAGACGCTTTGATTTTGGGGGGAAATGGAAGTTTTAACAGTGGAATTGTGAAGTTTGTAATATTTGCACCGGTGCAATTGTCAGAAGGGACAACTTGGTCGACCGAAGAATTTGTCGATTCGAGAGAAGGTTTTCGAGACATCGTCTTTTTTTTAAAAAAAATAAAAATAAAAATAAAAATAATAAAAATAATAATTTTTATTTTATAAATTTTTGCGATATACACTAATAAACATAGAAAAGAAACACGAATTCCACAAAGGAATTGAAAAAAGTCGCCAAAACCTAGGTCCGAATAAATTGCGACGCTGATACACAAATGACCTAATGGGATTTTATATGTATCCCAACAGGAAAAAAATTTTTTTTTTTTATACAGATTATTTTATAAATGAAGCACTTGCAATGATGAATCGGGAAACGCGAGGGAATATGGAATCAGGTTGAATCCTGCACTGCGCAATATTGTATACACATTTTTTTATTTCTTGTAAATAATCAAACGAATATTTCTCATCAATGTTCTATCGGTCTTACGTATTACGTGTCCGTGGGATCGCTAATCTAAGACCAAATGTAGACAACAAATCGTATTTAATGATCTAAAATGAACTAATACTTAAATGGTGGCAAAAAGTATACTAGAAAGGAAATTAGAAAGGAACTGCTATTTTGTATATTTAATTACGATAGAAACAT